ACGTCTCCACCTCATGCCATCCGAACCGTCCCCCGAGATGGGCATCTGCTAGATCTGATCTAATATATGCTCGCTAAAACCCGCCCAAAGGCCCAACTCCCTATCAAGCTTTCCCCTATCCCACAACCCGTCCGTCCAAAGGTCGCTCACAAGCAAGAAGTGGGAATGTGACACCGGCCTATCCCTAGACAACGGCCTATCACCTATCCACCACTCATCCCAAAAACTAACCTCGCCATCACCTAAAACTCAAAAGATGTGATCCTGGGCGCACCTACTGACCCTAGTAAGACGTCGCCACTGTCTACTATCATGAGCCACCGCCGTCACCCAAAAAGGGTGGTTGACGCATCTAGGGCAGTACTTGTCGCTAAGGTACTGAGCCTAAAGCAACCAAATTCTTTCCCTGAAGCGCCACCACAACTTGTAGGAGAAAGCAGTAACAATATCCCTAAGGCGGCGGATGCCAAGGCCTCCCTCAGAGAAGGGCCGGCAAATAGAGTCCTAACTCACCCAGTGGGTACGTCTCGCCTCCCGGAACCGTCCTCGTAATCCCAGAAATAACGGGCCATAATCTGGTCAATCTCGTCAAGAGTAGACATAGGGGGTCGAGGACCATAAGTAAGTGAAGCAGAAGAGAGCTAAGGGTGCTCTTGATCAGCGCAAGCCGACCATCGAAGGAAAGGTGTCTATGCGACCAACCAGAGATCCTATTGATCATCCTCTGCCTAATGTCCGCAAAGAGCGCTCTCGTGAAATTTCCCTTATATAAGGGGGACCGAGGTAAGTAATGGGAAGGTCACCTTGCGCAAAGCCAGTGATCTCGTGGACCCGCTGAGCCCACCTGTCTGCGCTGGAGGAGGAGAGGGTGAAGGTGCTCTTCTGCACACTGATCAACTGGCCGGTAATCGAGCTATAATGCTCCAGAAGGTGCATAAGCTCGATCAGCCCATCATCATCCGCCCGGGTGAAGATGATGATGTCATCCGCATAAGACAGGTGCGAGATGGGAGGACCATAGCCACGGCTGTTGTATGTCATCCGTGGATAGTCGCGGATGAAGCCGTCGAGGCAGCGAGAGAGGTAGACCGCCGCAAGAACGAAAAGGGACAGGGAAAGGGGGTCTCCCTGTCT